GGGTAGATAGAGAAAGAGAAAGAAAAAAGCAAAGAAATAAAGACTAGAGCCTGACCTCTACAGCAGAGGACACACATCCTCCTAGAGGAAAGGGGGTGTCTGTGTGAGGAAAGGATAGCAGTGACTCTATAATGTTGGGGAGGGTATTGTTTGCATCCATATGGGCTATAACCATTCGGCATTCTTCTTCTGTGCAAAACTAAATGCATCCAAGGAGTCCCAGGACAGTTCCAGGTGCTAACTGCCTACCATGCAACTGAAGGATGATAGGGTAGATCCAATTCTGTGGTCTTTACTCCTCCGGTTATTTCTGTTACTTTTGTTCCTCATCATTTGCTCATCTTAGAATCTTATTGGTTTACTAAGATAATTGTTTATTGTTGGGTAGTTTGTCTATTATTTCCAGAGGTCTCCATATTATTCTGGCTTTCTTACATGTATGCAATATTCTTTTAGAATCTTCTGTAATATAGACTTGGATATCACAGATTGTTATCACTACTTAGGGCAGATCTTCATAACTCTTAATTTTTTTGTAAAAAAAAAGATTTTCTAGATAAACTAATCTTGGTTGATAGCTATTGCTTCCTTTCAGGGCATGAAGCCTGACGTTAGTCTTTTGGTGTTTAGTGTTTCTTGCCTATGTGAAAAACTCAGTCCTTCTCTCTGTGACCATCAGTTTAATTTCTTTGTTCTATACACTTGGAATTTTGACAATCAAGGCATGAAGAAAGCTTTTGATGTACACCTTCATTTTATTTCTTTGTTTCTCTAAATTAACATGGCAATTAACATCTTTAAAGCTACTATGATGTTGGAGACTATGAACCACAACTAAAGCAAAACTGGGTAGAACTATGCTGGAATAGAATGGCAATTGATAGAGATTGATATGACATCCTCCTAAGAATAGAGCCATGAAATCATCATGGCAATTCCTCAGGAACATGGGAATCAATCTTTCTAAGATCCAGCTATACCACTTTTAGGCAAATACCCAAAGAATATTCCATCCTACTATAGAGACACTTACTTAACTATGTATATTGCTGATCTATTCATAATAGCCAGGAATTGGAAACAACACAGAAGAATGGAAAAAGGAAATTTTGTACATTTACTCAACCATTTAAAAGAAACATCATTAAATATTCAGGAAAACAGATGGAACTAGAAAAAAATTCATCCTGACTAAAGAATCCCAGATAAAGTATTCACTTATAGGTAGATATTCATTGTAAATTCATTGACAACCAAGCTACAATCCGTAGAACAAAGAAGGAAAATAAAGTATAGTGGACTAGGAGGAACAGATAGATCTTGATAGGAACTTTAAATAGAATGGATAATTATGGATGGAAAGGGGCTATTATTGGAGAAGCATTTATGGAAGGGGAGAAGTGTGGGGTTGTGGGAGGAAACCAGGAAGATATAGCTAATTTTTTGAAAAATATTTTATTCATTTTACATACCAACCACCATTCTCCCTCCCACCCCTCCTTCTTCTCCCCTCCCCAGCCCACTCCCTATCTACCTCCAATGGGGAGTCAACAAAGTCTTGACAATCAAGATAAGGTAGGACCAAACTCCTTCCCCCTGTATCAAGACTGAGAAAGGCATCCCACCATAGAGAATGGGGTCCAAAATGCCAGCTCATGCACTCAGAATAGATCCTGATCCCACTGCCAGGGACCCCTCAAACAAAACAAACTATACAACTGTTGCCCACATGCAGAGGGCCTAGTTTGGTCCCATGCAGGCTCCACAACTGTCAGTCTAGAGTTTATGACTTCCCAAAAGCTTGGTTCAGCTGTCTCTATAGATTTCCCTGTCATGGTCTCTCTCTTTTTTTTTTTTAAAGATTTATTTATTTATTTTGTACACAGTGTTCTGTCTGCATGTATGCCTGCAGGCCAGAAGAGGGCACCAGATTTTGTTACAGATGGTTGTGAGTCACCATGTGGTTGCTGGGAATTGAACTCAGGACCTCTGGAAGAACAATCAGTGCTCTTAACCTCTGAGCCATCTCTCCAGCACCTCTGTCATGGTCTTGACCCAGCCCTTGCTTATATAATCCCTCCTCTCTCTCTCTCTCTCTCTCTCTCTCTCTCTCTCTCTCTCTCTCTCTCTCTCTCTCTCTCACTCTCTTTCTCTGACTGGACTCCTGGAGCTTGTTCTGTTGCTTGAATGAAGATCTCTGTATCTGGTTCCATCAATTACTGGGTGAAGATTTTTTAATGATAGTTAGGGTATTCACCAATCTGATTACAGAAGAAGGTCAGTTCAGATACCCTCTCTACTATTAGGAGTCTTGTGTATTCCTGAGAATTTTCCTAGAACCAGATTTCTCCTTAACCCCATAATGACTCCCTCTATCAAGATATCTTTTTCAATGCTCTCCCATGTGTGTGGATCATGTGTGGAAGAGAGGAAGTGGATGTTGTGGGAGGGAATAGAGGGAGAAATTAACTAAAATTAAGGGAAAATTGAAGGGGTAGCATGGAAGTAGACACTTTCAAAAATATATGCATACATTCAGGAGAACCTAATGAAACTGTCAAATACTGGGGAAGACAGAGTCAAAACTGGCCATCTCTTGCCGCCAAATGAAGCTTAGAGTACAATGACTGGGTTGCATCTAATAAAGTTGTTGGCCAAAGGGAACCCACAGGAATCCTGCCATTGCTGAAGATAACACACAACTCTTTGAACATGAAGTGGTCAATCAGGAGCAACCATACAGCCTTTAGGCCTATGTTACAGCATCTTTGCTACATGAACATACTCTGCACACCCTCAAAGGGGAAACATAAAGAACAACACAACCACAAACTTTAACAATAGTGTACTGCCTTAAAGATGTGCTAAGGTAATGGTAGCCCATCAGAGGATTTTCTTCTGGTAGGCTTACCCCTGGAATTTCAATTGCAAGTTGTTGCTCTTCCAGCAGAACCCACAGTAAAACATCATTGTCTAGCAGGACACAACTCTTCCCCAAGAAAAAACAGAGTCAAAAGTGATTTTTTTTAGCCCAACCACAAAAGTCAACAGTCTGCTCCACTCTGTCCAAGTGGAACTATCAATGAATATTTTCATAGTTCATGCTCTGGAACTTCCTGGAAGATCTGTTTATATTAAGACAACATCCAAACTACCACAATGCCCGGGCCCTCCCATCATAGATGGCTTTCCTCAGTTATCAATGACTAAAAGAATTCCATGTTCAGATTTTCCTTTTCAGAAGTTCAGTCTAATACAATATTTTCCTATTTTTAATCCAGAAACAAGTATTGAAACTTTTGTCATACTAAATCTTACAGCAAATGACCCTGGATCAGTTACTTTCCTGTTACTGTGATAAATACACAAGCAAAAAATAATCTGATGGAAGACATCATTTGAACTTACAGTTCCAGGAGGATAAAGGTCCATTGTGTCAGGAGGAAGATATGACAGAAACCAGCAGGAAGTGAAGAGATCATATTTTCAACTACAAGTGTGAAGCAGAGATAGTAAACTAAGGCAAAAAGAAGAAGACTGAGGTTGAATATGAGAGGTGAAATGGCCAGAATGGATAGAGGTATCAATAGGGAAAATTATCTTTGATGTAATATTTTATAATTTTGATAGTTCCTATTCTCTTGTATTTTATATAAACACTAACAAAATCATAAAAGCCATCACAATTGTTCATTCCTATTATTTCCAGTATGAGTGTGGGAAGAAACTGTACCTGCCTTCTTCAGAGACTGAACGTCTTCATGTGGCATTTCTACCCTTTCAGTTGAATACAAATCTTGCTCTGTAGGGGCACTTCAATTATATTATAATAAATAAAAACTGCCTAAAGATCTGAGAGTGAAACAGTCCCACTGCTTAGTCTTACAAACCAGATTATGGTAACACACACCTTTCTATCTTTTCATATTTATATCCATCTTTTTTCTTTTTAAAAATTTCTTTCTTCCTTCTTCCTCTCTCTCTCTCTCTCTCTCTCTCTCTCTCTCTCTCTCTCTCTCTCT